TGATGCTGTCTTTGAGACTAACCAGCCTCAGAATAATAAAACTAAAAACACTAAAATACTCTTTACACTGTTCATGATTGAGACAAAGATCCTTTTAGTATTTTCTTAAATAGTTTAAACATTTCCCTTCATAAAACAGCTGATTACTTGAACATATAATCCTTGATTATTTATCCATCATTATGTATATTTTGTTTTTAGGCTATGAGAAAATGTTTATCAGAAAAGATAAATCTTTGTTAAGATTTGCCTTTAATTAAAAAAACTTTGAGATTAATTTCCTCTCGTCCTTTTTTTACGACACGAGAGATGCGTTGTTAAAAAAAAGTAACTAAGTAACTTTTACTTAAAGTACATTTTAAACAAGTTACTTTTTACTTTTACTTGAGTACATTTTTAATCTGGTATTTTTACTTGTACTTAAGTAAGATTTTAGCAAAGTAACAGTACTTTTAATTGAGTAGAATATATTAGTACTCTTTACACCTCTGGCAGCGAGTCTGTTTTCGCCGGAGTACGCTGCAGGCACGCATCAAGCTGGACAGAATATGACAGCCCGGACAGGAAGTCAGACAAGGAAACGCACAGAGCGTCCAGTCAATTTTAAAATTAAACACAATATGCAGACTTGCGATCGTATTTTTCATCACTTTATCAACATGACGTCAAAACAGGTACCGAATTAACCACAATGCATCCTCAGAAAGACAAAGCAACATGTTGTTTGCATGTTTTACTCTTTATTCCCGCGGGATCTTGTAGTTGTCCTATGATGTGTCATAGGTGTGCTGACGTCCCAGAAACAGATCCAGTGTGAATGGGCGCGAGCCGTCCGAAGGAGCAAAACTGTGGCACTGACAGACCGCGGCACGCACGGAATATGTGTAAATTGGGGGTTAGGCTCCTTGAAATTGTTGGTTGACGGCCTGCCAGAACAACCCCCAAACCCCCCAACCCCCAACCCCCACCAACTTACTCCCTATCCCTCTTCCTGAATTTTATCCCATCTCTCCCCCTATCCCTTTCCAAGCCCGGCGCAGTCTAGGCCTGTGAAGGCTGATGAGCCCGGGATCAGGCCGAAGATTTCTGACTTTTAATAAGGCAGTTTTTTGTTGTTGGTCTTTTGTATAAAGTTTAATTTTATACAAAAGACCAACAACCAACAATTGTATTTTAGTGTGTCGTGAGTTTATGAAGATAAAGACTGTAAAGATTGCACAAAGTAGTAGTTGCAATAATGAGCTTAAACTGCACATCATTTACAAGTAAAAAGATATTTATTAAAAAAGATTTCTAAAATAAGAGAAAATGTCTATCCACAGGCAACACTCTCTAAAGAACACAAGGGGAGGCTCTCAGCGTACTGAAACACCCATGTAAGACCATAACATCATCTGCATAGAACATCAGCACACTTATACTGTGTTTTTTTAAAGGTGCTCTATGGAGTTTTGGTAGAGTCATGTGAAAGTTGGAGAAATGTACAGATTCTGTGGTATGTGTTCATTACTCTATATGCTTCTATAGAAGTACAATGTGACAGAGCAAAGCAGAGAGATGATCACCAATGACCAAAGTGACTACAACAACAGCAAAGACAGGAAATGTGGAAAGCCTAAATAAGTGGGCGGGCAACAGGAGGTACCTGAGAAATTAGTTTAAAAAGACATTTAATGCAGATATGTTGAGATAAGAAGAACAAATATGTTTAAATATCTGAGTACTTTTCACATTGTGAATTAAGTCAAAGGTTTCCATGCAGTGGCTCATTTTTCTTCTGCTAATTAAAACGTGCAGTAGATCTGATCAAACTCGTAGCTCTCTCCTTCATCACTCGTATGACTATCATTACAAACTCCAATGTTTTGTCAGTGGTTATAATGCCACTGATGGGACTCCAAAGCCCCCTGCAGTAACAGACGGGTGATGTCACTCTGGCTTAGTCCATTCATTCTTACAGGCTGTGGTTGCACACCAGAGAAAAATTAGATACATTGAAAACCAACATTTTAAACATCTAATCCACATTCTATATTTGACCTAGCCTCCAGTGACTCCGGTGACTCCATCGGTCCACCCCATGTTGAGCCTGGTGTATCTTGGATGATGGTGTTCAGTCCAGCCATCACGGTCCTCTCCACCTTCCTGTGCCTGACTTTTGTTTATCTCTGCAGTCAGAATGCAGGTAAATACACAACAATCACTTTTTACCTGTTAAGTATAGACATTATGAATCGACTAAAATACAAATGAATCATATTTATTGTGATGGATCATTGAATGAATGAAGTCATTGTCTAACAAGAAACCTTTTATTTATGATTCTACAGATGAAAAAGATCAAATGACTGAGAGAAGACCTGACATGGGAGAGGAAAGTACAGTGAATCAGGTAAGGACTTTCTTTGGTATTTTCATGGTCTCAGAACCATTAGACATCTTTGCAGCAGTAGAGACTCTGTACTAATGACACTCATGTTACTGTGTCTGATTACCTTTCAGGATGAAGACGCATGTTTCACCAGAGTTGTGTTCTTGGTTGCAGATGGACAGAACAAATAGATTGGCTTTGTCTGAGCGGACATCACACAAGCTCCACTTCAAACGTCTCACAAAGTCTTTAGCGTCCGAGTTTAAAGACCTGTTATATTTGTACACAGTGATGATGCGTTTTGGGGGCGGAGTCAAAATGGTGTCAGAAAGTCAGCTAGTGGTGTTGAATTAACTGTTTGTTTGTTTGTTTTCTGGCTTCTTGCTTTCACTTGATAAGACGGTGTATAGAGTAGTAAACAGGAAAGAGAGAGGGGGGAATGACATGTGGTAATGGAACCACAGGCCGGACCTGAACCACCCGCCCAGAGGACCAGAGCTTCCAAACATTCAGGCAACCCAACCACCAGGTCAGCTGTGCTCATGAATTAACAATTAGTTCTTCGGCAGATGTTCAGCAGAAGCAGCTTTTGAGGACCCTTGTTTACTATCACAATGACGTTAATCATCCTACTACGACGCTCGCTGGCCGATTATCATCCAATTTGTCAATGTCTTCAGACACATTCACGTTGTTATGGAAGAGTTTGTGGAGTCACAGAGTACATTTAAAGAAATGAATATTATTTTCACCATCTATTTGTAATAAATATTCAAATTAATCAAAGTACGTTGTTGGTGTATCTCTGTTAAAAGGTGAAGCAGATCTAAGAAAGGTTGAGCCCAACAGGAGCCACAAAAAAGTGAAAAGATTGATGACAAAATTCAACAGAAATTCTAATTGATTCCATGAGAACCTTAATTCAAGGTTGTCATTTTTTACACAGTTTGGGTAAAATGTGGTCAAATCTAAGTTGGGCAACCTCAGAGCAGAAAGAGCCTTGCCTTCCACATGATACTGAGGCTCCTGTTTGTTAAATCAATAAATTGTTAAATTGCCAATGTGTCTTGTTTCTTCAGATTTTAATCATCCAATCCTGTTAGCTTGGGGTGGGTTTTTTGTTTAGTTCATTTCTGTTTTGCTGTTACTGTTTGTGTCTCAAAATAAAGAAATAAAAAAATCATCAAATCCAAAAAACGAATAAGCTGTTTTTTCAAGTTTTTGAATTTTCATACTCAGCTCTGCTACTCATCCCACATTGCATGTTCCTTACAAATGTGGCACCATTTAAAATGGAAATAAACAGTCTTTCCAAAGTTATAAGATGTATTGCCAAGAAGCATTGTTACAACAAAGAAATAAATCTACCAAACACAAACGTCCTTACTTTTTGTTCGATGTTTATGTCAACATTACAAAATTATTTTTTTATTCCTCTGGTCTTAGGCCTGTTACATCCTAGATGTATTAAGAGCAGAATAGGTGCAGGAGTCAGAAGTCTGCGGTTCCTTCTTCTTCTTTGGTCTCTTTGATTTCTGACGGATTTCCACAGCAGCATAGCACACATCGTCATCCTAAAATTGCATATTTGTCATTTAGAAGCCCAACCTTGAACATCTTTAATGCTTTGATACATTACACTTTAATGATAGATACCTGGCTCTGTCTTGGATGACCTCTAGTGTCAGGTCTTTGCTGATCAACAGGATGTTCTTCAGCTGCAGGAATAAATATAACATCAGTACAGCACAATGAAACTGACACAGTGGAAGAGACATTAAGGTGTCTTTGTGATTAAAACACTTAACTGGATACATATTCTCGAAAAAGTGAGGTAGTTACCCTTCTTACAGCAGTGATAGACCACAAGTGAGGAGAGGAGAGAGGAGACAATAGATACAACTGGACACAGACAGGAGATCAGAATCCAGCAGTCCTGTTGCATCTTGGGGGGGAGGAGTCTGATTCGTTTCCGCATCTAAATGAAAGTTCTGTTGATTACGTTCATTTAACTCTGATCTACAGAAAAATTCCTAAAATGTTGTAGAAAGTTGTAGAAACTTCAAAACATTGAAATCCCATATTTGAATGAAAATAGCACAAAGACAACATAAATTGATGAAACTGGGATATTTTATTGTTTTTGAAAAAAATAATGCTAAGGCAGCTTAGTAAATTTATAGGGACATGTCAGACAAAAGTACCACATTTTTTCCACATAGTCTCCATCACCATAGCTTTCAATTTTTTTTTTTTTTTTTTTTGGGGGGGGCACTTCATCAAGTTGGCGGCCATGTAAAGTCTGTAAGTGCCAATATGTCTTCCAAGCCACTTAGAAAGTCAATTTTGGTGTAAATATATTTTCTGGGTCAAGGAATGCATTAAAATATGGAAAAAATTTGGTGCTTTTGTCCGACGTGTCCCCATTCGTTCCAAATCTGGTCCGAAGCTGCCTGACTAAAAGGCTGAAAAATGGTAAAAAAACAACAAAAACAAACAAACATCCATAACTGAATCATAATTCAAATGATGAATTAGAATAATATGTTATGCCCGCCACCTATCGTAGTGCGCGTTCTGCCCGCTCGCCTCATGGACTGTAAATATTACGTTCACCTGCCTGGGAGCTGGAGTCTGACGTCACTTTCCTGCACCGTCCACTTTGCCGTTTCATTTTCAAGTTGGTTTGAATTATGATCACTTTTTAGCACGGCAAGTTTGAAAATGAAAAGCCAAAGACCTTTTAGTTTTCATTTGAATTATGTCATACAATATGCAGACATAGAGAGCAAAGGTATAATGCAAACTGGATGACTGAATATTCATTTTAAATATAGGTCAAATAATGCAACTATAATCTGAAAATTAAAACGCATTTCTGTTAATGCATTTGAATTTTCAAATTAGCTTTATCATTTCAATTTTGATCACTAATCGCTTCCATACTAGCATTCTGGGACCGTAGTGTTCTCGAGGGGCAGTACGGCACTAGTAGCTCTTTAAGATAAGATGGTGCCTGGTCATTTAGAGCTTTGTAAGTGAGAAGAAGGATCTTGAATTCTATTCTAGATTGTATAGGGAGCCAGTGCAGAGAAGCCAACACAGGAGTAATGTGGTCCCTTTTCCTAGTTCTAGTCAGTACACGAGCTGCAGCGTTCTGGACTAGTTGAAGAGTCTTTAGAGACTTACCAGAGCACCCTGACAAAAGAGAATTACAATAATCCAACCTGGAGGTAACAAATGCATGAACTAGTTTTTCTGCATTATTTTGCGACAGGATCTGCCTGATCTTAGATAAGTCCAGGCCAGAGAACCTGAAAGGGTCTGTTCTTTGGCTGCTAGGTCCGTGCGAGCCGACTCTAGTTTTGCTAAGAGTCAGGCGAAAATATCAGAAAATATTTTTATTATTATTAAATAAATAATTACTAGAAGTGTGATTGATCTAATTATAAACACACTAGTGTACAGATTGAACTACTGTTGGTGTAGCACGTAGCAGCCACGTTCAGTTTGTATGCTCCCTAAATCTGGAACAAACTCCCAGAAAACTGCAGGTCTGCTGAAACTCTCAGCTCTTTTAAATCGAGGTTGAAGAGACACCTGTTTACAGCTGCCTTTCAATAAACAATTTTAATAAGATTTGAAATCTTAACTCTGCACTGTAACTTTTAACTCTTTTTATATTTTTACTTTATTTATTTCAATTAATTTCATTTGAATTATTTTTATTTGAACATATTTTCAGATTTAATAATTTCAGTCATTTTTAAATTTCCTATTTTAATGTTTCTCTTCTTTCCTCTGTCATGATGCTTTTGATGTTTTGTGTGAAGCACTTTGAATTGTTTTTGAAATGCTCTATAAATAAACTTGCCTTGCCCTGTAAGAAAGAGTCTCAGTGCTAAACTGGCACTTCCTGCAGTCCTGACTTGTCACCCATTAAAAGTGTTTTTGAGCTGAAAGGTGTAAAAGGAGTCCTTGAACTGTTCAACATTTTAAATCCTACATTAAGCAAGAATGGTAAAACATTACCCTCTTAAAGTTATAGAAACTGGTCTCCTGGGTTGTTTAAAGAAAAGTGTGATGCAACAGAGCGGTACACATGACCCTGTCCCAACTTTTGAAAAGTGTTGCTGGCATTAAATTCAAATTGGCGTATCATTTTCTGTAAACATTTTATGTTTTCTTGTGATTATTTTTAAAAAAAATCAGGGTTTCAATATTTTTAAATTCATCACAATCAGTTTTGTTTACTTTTGACAACTTTTTGACCAAAAAAACAACATCTTGAGAAAGTTAATGTTCTTAACCTCAATTTTTTTTAGTATTTAACTTTGCAGACAGGTTGAGTCTTTCTGAATGTATCTATATATGTGTGTGTGTGTGTGTGTGTGTGTGTGTGTGTGTGTGTGTGTGTTCACACCTCTTCTTTTTTCACTTCTCAAATGCCTCCTGATCGTCCATTTATTTAAGCTATATTAATTACATTTCAGTTAATAGTATTTCTGCCACTTGTCTTTCGAGTTAGTTGTAGTCATATTGGTCATTGATGATCTGGTGATCATCATCCTGTACAACACTTTCTCTGCAAATTAATTATTCATTTTACAAAAGTATGAATGTGTTGTCTGATGATCTTAGCGGATGATGTTTTTGGTCTGACATCATTAATTCAGTGAATGATTTATTTGTAATATTCAAATTATTGAATCCACTGAAATCACAGTCACACAAAGACAGAGCGTACTTACTGAATATGATTCTTCTTGTGATGTTGCTGTAGCTGTAGTAAATATATCTAGAAGTTATGTTTTCCTTTTCCTCCAGTCTTGGTTCTTCAGTTCCACAGTAGTAAAGACCTTCATCTGACTCAGTGATGTTCAGGATCAGCAGGTCGTAGGAGTCAGAGGACTGGTTCTTCAATGAGTGGAAATTAGGAGGAAGATTTTGTTTCAGTATATTGTTTACTTTCAGAACAAGTGAAGGCTGGTTCTCATGAGAACAGTTCCTGTACCACACGATGTAAACTCCAGTTGATGTTTTGCAGTCACAGTAGAGAATGATGTTGTCTCCTGGTCTGACCGTCACCTTCAACTCTGATCCACAAACACAGTCAGGACTCAAGGAAACCACTGCTGGAATTCAAACAAGATCATAACAGCAGTTTAAAATGTGCACAGCTATACAGGAAGACAAAATGACAAGGGCACTAGAACGTTAGTATTCTTCTTTTAATGTAAAAACATCCTTGTATTAAATCATCCAAACTATTAATCAAAAGAATTACCTGAGACCAGGAGCAGAACAACGTGACGGCCCTCCATGAGTGACGAGGTCTGAGATGTGAAGACAGAGACACAGGTCTCACTGACATCACACCCATGTAGATGTTTCCATTAAAGGAAGCAGACGCTGTGATTGGCCCGTGAGGTGGAATATTTTTTTTTCTTTTTTTTTGCAGATGCCACCTAATGTGATATTTTAGACTTTGATGTCTTATTCTCTCATTGTGTCTTTCCCTAACATCCTCAATTAACTTTTAATGCTTTTATTTATTTTCATTTAATTGCTATTATTACGTCTTTAGTTCTTGCACGGATTACAAGACTCCATGGACGGTCAGAAGACGTTCAGAATAACTTAGAAGCAACTTCTAATGAGACAAGTGTTGTTTAAGATGATGTTACATTAGCAGATGTGTTTTCTTGATGACAGTGCGACCATGTCTGGTTTTGAATGTTGGTTTAGGCAGGAACCTGTTCTCCCCTCTTTCCAGTACTGCGTTCTGCCTCTACATGTTTTAAATTTAGACATGAGAATGCAGACGAAAACCCCACTGAACATGTGCTACACTCTGCTTCATATGTGCAACCAGAGCTGACCTCATTTGATCTCACAAAGGTGGGACGTGGTCACCCATATGACATAGATTCAGATATATTGATTGACTGATAGAACGTTATTGTCAGAGAGAACTCTCAATAATGTCTCGCATATCTCAGCCGCTCCATTTGGAATATAAATAATTAAAGACAATATAAAAATATGCAAACATTTGACCCAACATTCAAACACCAAACAAGTATTCAGAATCCTTTAATGTGCTTTGATCTGAGATTATTCTCCATATTTCATTTTAGGATTGACTGATGTATGAAAGAGTGCACCGTTCATTCCTTAAAACTGACTGGTGCACTCCTGCATGTGTAACAGAGTTAGAATCTACCTCTATGTTGAATTTTTACAAACAGATAAGGCTGTCGCTACATGGTGGTTTAATAGAGCAACTGTGAGCTGTATTGGTCGGGCCACTAGCTGTTCACACGTAGCTCAGCAATGGAAAACTCTCCCCAGCTGAAGATGTGAGTCCTTTGAATTTGCATGAAACAGTACTGATTAGTGTGTTCTGTTGATTTAAACACCAGAATAAAAAAGTGAACCAGAGTGAGAGCAACTCCTGTGTAGTTGCTTGTCTAGAAGTATCTTTGGTGTCTGCAGAGCAGTTGAATGTCCAACTGAGGTTTTGCTTGACTTTAGACACCCAGACACACAACACTTCAACAAAGGGTGTTGAGCAGACTTGTTTTCTGCAGCAGAGTGTCAAGTTAGACGAGGGTCTGTTCATCACTTTGGGTTTCCTGTGAACTAATCTGATCGTTCTTGGAAATGTGTGGTGGAGAAAACAAGAAATTGCATGTAAACAGCTTACGTGAAACAACACTCACTACTATAATGAAATGTTATGGATCCCTTTCAATGAAGAGACGTGAATAAAAAGCTGTTACATGTTAAGTGCTAAAAACAGTTAAATTACAGACAGCCAAATAAATGACTTAGAGAAAAGTTGAGATTGGTGAGAAAGAAAAAGACATGTATGCTAAAGTTATGTTCCCAGCAGCCACTCTTGCATCAGCAGGAATCGGGAAACATGAGGAAACTGTCGGGGGAAACATGGGAACTTGTCCATATTTAAAAATGGAGGATTAATTCCCCCCCCCAACCCTTGGTTGTTGCAAGAACAGTGTTTATAATACACAAGGGAAGACATGTGGTGCTCAGAGTCCAGACAGAAAAAAGGGACCACTCTGATACTCAAGGGTTCAAGGTCAAACTTATTGATTTGAAGGTTTTTCTATACCAAAAGTGAAAAACATAGTGACCACTTTTGTCAGTGATGTTGTGTGTGTGTGTGTGTGTGTGTGTGTGTGTGTGTGTGTGTGCGTGTATGTGTGCGTGTGTGTGTATGAGAGTGTGTGTGTGTGTGTATGTGTGCGTGTGTGTGTGTGTGTGTGTGTGTGTGTGTGTGTGAGAGAGAGAGAGAGAGAGTGTATGATGGAAACAAAGTGTGGTTGTTGCTGCTCTGACACAGAAAAGACAAACCACAAATAAGCCACCAACAGAATGGGAGGCATTGTGACAACATTACAATCATACAATAAGTTATTTTGAAGTTCATCAGTTATGTTCAAAATATATATTACATATAAGTCATCAACAGAAGACAGACGAAACATGGTGCCACATTATCCATTTGAAAACCTCTGAATTTCTCATCTCATTGGGAACTCATCATTTGTTGTTGTTTTCTAGCCACAACACAAACTTTTTTTATTGAACCAGGATTCATGCAGTCATGCACATAACCCTTCCACACATCGTGCTCACTGCAGTGGACAGCTATTCAGAAGCCTTTATCCACTAAGTTCATAGAGTTTGATAGATTGGTTTCACATCAGCCACTTCAGCAGACGTTGGTAAGTCAATCCATACACTGCCACCCACTGGCCAGCAGTTGTAAGTGCACCAGAAATTTCTCAGAATCAAGATGGCTGACAGGTTAGAAATGGGTTTTCTTTTGAGATCCTTAGTATAGAAATGTTGACGGCCTCAGTGTTGGCCTCTCTTCCTGTTTGTTCTCTCTTTTGCTTGCTGTGTTCTCCTTGTTGCAGGTAGATGTGGGTGGAGTCTGAGACGACTCTGTAATGCAGCACACCTGAGCATGCTGGTTTCAGGATGCTATAAAGCAGACCTGCTCAGTCCTCTCAACTCTTCCCTGGCCACCAGTCTGCCGTCAGCATTTGTTTGTATTGTAATGTGTTGTAGACATATACTCATTCATCCACACACACAGACACACACACACACAGACACACACACACACACACACACACACACACACACACACACATAACATTACTGACAAAAGTATAGTAAAACCTTCAAATAGATAAGTTTGACCTTGAACCCTTGAGTATCAGAGTGGTCCCTTTTTCTGTCTGGACTCTGAGCCCAACATGTCTTCTCTTGTGTATTATAAACTCTGTACATACAACAACCAAAGAGGGGAAATGAATCCTCACATTTTAAATCAGGAACAGTTCCCTTCCTGTTTCCCAATTCCTGCTGGTGCAAGAGTGGTTGCTGGGAGACTAATATTGGCAATTAGCTTAGCTTTAGCATGAATGTCCAGTCTCCCTTTGAAGCATGGAAATAAATTTAAATTTTTCCTTCCCACCATTCTTAACTGCTCTCTTAGGTTCCTCTGGATCGTTTGGTGGACGGCCTGCCTGAATGACCAACACCCCCTTGTTCCCTAACCTTCTTCCAGCATCTTATCCCATCGCCCACTATCCTGTTTTCAAGCATGGCACAGTTTCGGTGGATGGCTGTTCTTCATGAGCCTGGATTTGCTCAAGATTTCTGCCTATTAAAAGAAAGTTTTCTTAGAACCGTAACTTTTGCTAAAATGTTGCTATGGTGCTACGCTAATGATGGATTAACATTGGGACTTAGTTTGTAATATAGCAATGAGTAATGTCTTTTACCAACTTTTTGTAAAGTGTCTGGAGATAACACTTGTTATGAATTGGCGCTATACAAAGAAAGATTGAACTTTTCTGCCAGTCATTTATTTGACAGTCTATAATTTAAATGTTTCTGGCACTTAAATAGTAACAGCTTTATATTCATATTTCTTCATTGAAATGGATCCATAACTTTTCATTATAGTAGTGAGTGTTGTTTCACGTGAGCTGTTTTCAGGCAATTTCTTGTTTTTATCTCAAGTTATCCATCTGACTGTATACACTCCACAGCACGATTCCAAGAACGATCAGATAGATTCACAGTTAACCGAAAGTGACGAACAGACCCTCATGCAACTTCACACACTCTGCTGAAGAAAACAAGTCTGCTCAACCCCCTTTGAAGCGTGTGGTGTCTAAAGTCAAGCAAAACCTCAGGTGGATATTCAACTGCTCTGCAGCCACCACAGCTACTTCTCAACACGTTATTAGACATGGGTGACTGGTTGTGTCTCTCTGCATGTCTTGTTGAAGGAAGCCACAACTACACAGGAGTTGCTCTCATTCTGGTTCAGTTTTTTATTCTGGTGTTTAAATCAACAGAACACAGTAATCAGTACTGTTTCATGCAAATTCAAAGGACTCACATCTTCAGCTGGGGAGAGTTTTCCATTGCTGAGCTACGTGTGAACAGCTAGTGGCCCGACCAATACAGCTCACAGTTGCTCTATTAAACCACCATGTAGCGACAGCCTTATCTGTTTGTAAAAATTCAACATAGAGGTAGATTCTAACTCTGTTACACATGCAGGAGTGCACCAGTCAGTTTTAAGGAATGAACGGTGAACTCTTTCCTACAGCAGTCAATCCTAAAATGAAATATGGAGAATAATCTCAGATCAAAATTAATCAGATCAAATTAATATTAATATGTTTTCTTAATGAATAATTACTATAAATTAACAATATTATTAAACTGAGTTGATCAGAATGGGGCACCACCCTAAAATCAGGGGAAAATAACAAAATGATCACAAATTCAGTCATGAATTAATTAATTAACTACTAATATTATTAATAATTCACAACCTGTATTTCATAAATTGAAGGCTTGAAATCTGTACACAAAGCCCTTGCACCCTGCTGTATTACAATGATTATACACAAGTAATCACAAACAACTGCTTTCTTAAATTGTAACAGAGTTTATTTAATTAAAGCCACATCAATCCAAAATCAATGTGTGTGTGTGTGTGTGTGTGTGTGTGTGTGTGTGTGTGTGTGTGTGTGTGTGTGTGTGTGTGTGTGTGCGTGCGTGTGGGTGTGTGCGTGTGGACGAGAGAAGAGAGAGAGAGAGAGAGAGGGAAAGATGGCGGCATCCTGTAAGATGGCGGACACTTAACAGAGTAGTCTTCTGGCGTGGTCTATTGTCTACACAGGCAGGACTGAGTTAAGGTTGGTCTCAGCACGATCTGTGTCTCTGAGGTGTTTGAACGACTACGAGTGTACAGATCTATATGTGTTAGCGTGTGTATGTGTGTTTGGGGAGGCAGCAGAAAGAGCCTCTTGCTGGCTTTGTTTCAGGCAGGAGGAGACGAGCTGGAAACTTGTTGACAGTTAACCTTGGGTGTTTTTTTGTTAATCATTTTCCAGCCATTTCTTTCCACCTTCTCAACTTTTTTGAAACAAGTCGTTAGCATCAAATTGGGCATATACTTTTCCAAAAACAATAAAATATCACAGTTTCAACAATTCACGTTGTCTTTGTGCTATTTTCATTCAAATATGGGGTTTCAATGTTTTTTTAGATTCTACATATGTCCCAACTTTTTAGGAATTGTGTTTGTAGATCAGAGTTAAATGAATTTAATCAACACAACTTTGTACACAACTCATTTAGATGTAAAACCGAATGCGACCTCTTGCCCCAAGATGCTTCAGGACTGTAATGAGTGCTGGATTCTGATCTCCTGTCTGTGTCCAGTTGTATCTATTGTCTCCTCTCTCCTCTCCTCACTTGTGGTCTATCACTGCTGTAAGAAGGGTAACTACCTCACTTTTTCTAGAATATGTATCCACATGTTTGTTTTTAATCACAAAGACACCTTAATGTCTCTTCCACTGTGTGAGTTTCATTGTGCTGTACTGATGTTATATTTATTCCTGCAGCTGAAGAACATCCTGTTGATCAGCAAAGACCTGACACTAGAGGTCATCCAAGACAGAGCCAGGTATCTATCATTAAAGTGTAATGTATCAAAGCATTAAATATGTTCAAGTTTGGGCTTCTAAATGACAAATATTCATTTTTAGGATGACGATGTGTGCTATGCTGCTGTGGAAATCCGTCAGAAATCAAAGAGACCAAAGAAGAAGAAGGAACCGCAGACTTCTGACTTCTGCACCTATTCTGCTCTTAATACATCTAGGATGTAACAGGCCTAAGACCAGAGGAATAAAAAAAATGAATTTTATAATGTTGATATATATAGACCATTCTGTCATTGCATAGTTCAAACATTGCTGGCTGTATTAACCACAACATTCATCACGGAAAATATGCGTCATGTGGTCTTATTTCCTTGCGCCACTGAGATGACTTTTGAAAATTAAAGGAGCCGTAAAAATCAGAAATGAAGAACAATCTCATAAGTGTTTGTCGTGGTTGATTACACTTCATCTTCAGAATCTTTATATTCTTAATTGAGATCAATTTCATAAAGTTTGTAATGGCTGCTGGTCTGAATCTAGACTGTTCTCTGGCAATTTCCTGTTTTTATCTCAAGCTAACCATCAACCATGCTGCTTTGCCTGTGCAGTCTGATGCAATACAAGTATCAATTATGTTGGAGCTGATTCTGTTAAAGATACTAAAACCTTTATCCTCTTTTTTGTGTAGAGGGAATACATACAAAAGCTCGCAACACAAGACAGATACTGTAACATTTTCTTATAGCTTCTTCAAGACCCTGACCCAATGTTTGCAAGACATCCCATGAAAACAAAGAGTAAACAACAAAGTCAACTTATAACACATGATGTAGCACCCTGGCATCAGTCCGGCTCACAGGAAACCCACACTGACAAAAAAGCCCCTCATACGACGGCACAGCTCATCACACAGGCACACTGAAGCTGCAGGTTAGTTCACAGCTTCGTTGTCGAAGAAAGACCCAAGCACATGCGCACAAAGCATAACCAGCCAAGGGTGCAAAAAAAGAGTGCGAGTCTGACACTGTCTCTGAGAACGATCAGTAAGTATAAAGTACTAAAGCTTTTTCATTAAAGAGCCGTAACTAAGCTCAACCTTCATCACGTCTTTGTGCATTCATATTGATTTTGTGACAGCGTGATATTGGAGTGCCAGTCTGTGAATTCACTTTTCTTTTTGGCGTTGCAGAAGCACAGCACAACAGGAGCTTCACATACACACACAGTCAGACATGCACACACACACACACACACACACACACACACACACACACACACAGCGCCGTGCCTCCCCCGCTGGCTCCGCTGATCCCGTCTCAGCTATGTAACACCTCTGTTACTACCTCCAAAGATGGTACAGAGAGTGGATCACTTCGCCCCCCCCCATTGCACCTCCGCAACATTCAGATTGAAAGCAACGTCACAGGGGCGTAAATGTAGCAGTCTGAACAGAGCTTAAAGGCAGGGTTGGTCATTTTCGAAAACTAGCCTGATTTTGAAAGTAGCATCTACACCCACCCCCCCTCCTCTGTGCTCCCTCAAAAGCCACGCCCCTCACTTACATGCACGAGCGCCGTTGCTCCAGAAGTGGACCTCAGCTCATCGCTTGCATTGTGTAGAAACTACATTTAGAGGTAAGTAAACACTAAACTTTATCAGAATATATATTTTTAAAAAACCTGACTATTTTACTACTCACAACAACGGCCAACAACAAACTCACAGTATAAACTCCGTCATCGGTGACACGCTTTGAGTGTGGGCTAGTGCACACAAAGAGTATAGAACGAGCAGGGAGACAGGGAGACAGTGAGATGTGATTGGTTCATCAGATGGGTACCTTTTTTTTACAGGCTTACAACTGCTACAGGTGACGGATTTTCTTTGTTCCTTTGTCAGGACCGAAAGACAATTTCAACCAAAATCTTAAAAAGTGTATCTGGATAAAATGACCAACCCTGCCTTTACATCCATGTTTTATACAGTCTATGGTTGTTGCTGAGCAGACCTCAAAAAACGAGGGCCAAATCCTCTAAAATAAGGCAGTAAAATCAGAATTTTCTTAATGCTATTTTGACATTAATAAATGTACTTTTTGTTTTTCAGGGGATTTTTGCGCACACAAAAAACCACTAGCTTATAGTAGAGAATATGTTTTGCATCCTCTAATAGGAAATTGATGACAAAAGAGTGTCAATGATATGACAATTTATAGCCCAAAAGAACATCATTTCATTTCATAATAGACGATAATGCCTGCTGCCCTCATTCAGGTTTTGTTGGTTGGTTTCCGTTGATTTAATTCGTTGTTGTTGCATCATACAACTGTCACAAAACAACCGCAGAGGAAAATGTTCCATTCAATGAGCCAATCACAGGTCACATTTCTTTGAAGGGAAATGTGTGCACAGGTCATAAATTTACTGTTTCACTACCTCTCACCTCCTGGTTGTCGTCAACACATGGACAGGCTGTGCTTTTTGCTTGCTGTCATCTTGGGTAATTTTTTTGTTAGATTACGTTTTATCTGCTGTGCTATGAAATCATTCCCTATTTTTGACTTGTTTTTCTGCATTTGTATTCCAGGAGTTTTTTCCTGCAACCGTGATGGGATTTGTGGATCAGTGTTGGAGGAGATCAAATAAGGTCAGCTCTGGTTGCACATATGAAGCAGAGTGTAGCACATGTTCAGTGGGGTTTTCGTCTGCATTCTCATGTCTAAATTTAAAACATGTAGTGGCAGTACGCAGTACTGGAAAGAGGGGAGAACAGGTTCCTGCCTAAACCAACATTCAAAACCAGACATGGTCGCACTTTAATCAAGAAAACACATCTGCTAATGTAACATCATCTTAAACAACACTTGTCTCCTTAGAAGTTGCTATTCTGAAGGGCTTCTGACCGTCCATGGAGTCTTGTAATCCGTGCTAGGTGGAGCCCAGCTTCCGTTCATTACTGCTAGTTAACGTGAGCACGAGCTTCGGTCAATGTGCTGCAGCTGACTGATAAACAATGCTGCAGAGTTTTGGCAGCCAGAAGTTTGTTGCAAAATCTCCCAAGTGAAATGTGTAGCAGAGGAAGATGTGATGATTCATTATCATATGTGTTATTCCAACAAAACATACTTTAAAAAAACATGCTGACTAATCGTTTACAGATTAGGAAAAGGACAACAACAAAGATACTCAAGCAACATGATTAACCTGAACATCATTTGAACCCAAGTAACACAAGAACCCAACAACATGCACTGAGACCCAAAGAATGACCACAAATGGAAGGTGAAGTAAGAAACTAAAAGAGACAGAAATTTTAAAAACAGATAATAGCAGTTAAATGAAAATAAATAAAAGCATTTAAAGTTAATAGAGGATGTTAGGGAAGAGTTTGTGGAGTCACAGAGTACATTTAAAGAAATTAATATTATTTTCACCATCTATTTGTAATAAATATTCAAATTAATCCAAGTACGTTGTTGGTGTATCTCTATTAAAAGGTCAAGCAGATCTAAGAAAGGTTGAGCCCAACAGGAGCCACAAAAAAGTGATAAGATTGATGACAAAATTCAACAGAAACTGTTTTGCTGTTACTGTTTGTGTCTCAAAATAAATAAACTCAATACAAAAAAATTCATCCAATCCACTAAACGAATAAGCTGTTTTTTCATGTTTTTTCAAGTTTTTCAATTTTCATACTCAGCTCTGCTACTCATCACACATTGCATGTTCCTTACAAATGTGGCACCATTTAAAAGGGAAATAAACAGTCTTTCCAAAGTTACAAGATTTATTTCCAAGAAGCATTGTTACAACAAAGAAATAAATCTACCAAACACAAATGTCCTTACTTTTTGTTCGATGTTTATGTCAACATTACAAAATTATTGTTTTGTTCCTCTGGTCTTAGGCCTGTTACATCCTAGATGTATTAAGAGCAGAATAGGTGCAGAAGTCAGAAGTCTGCGGTTCCTTCTTCTTCTTTGGTCTCTTTGATTTCTGACGGATTTCCACAGCAGCATAGCACACATCGTCATCCTAAGATTGAATATTTGTCATTTAGAAGCCCAAACTTGAACATATTTAATGCTTTGATACATTACACTTTAATGATAGATACCTGGCTCTGTCTTGGATGACCTCTAGTGTCAGGTCTTTGCTGATCAACAGGATGTTCTTCAGCTGCAGGAATAAATATAACATCAGTACAGCACAATGAAACTCACACAGTGGAAGAGACTTAAAGGTGTCTTTGTGATTAAAACACTTAAGTGGATACATATTCTAGAAAAAGTGAGGTAGTTACCCTTCTTACAGCAGTGATAGACCACAAGTGAGGAGAGGAGAGAGGAGACAATAGATACAACTGGACACAGACAGAAGATCAGAATCCAGCACTCATTACAGTCCTGAAGCATCTTGGGGGGAGGAGTCTCATTCGGTTCTGTATCTAAATGAAAGTTGTGTTGATTACGTTCCTTTAACTCTGATCTACAGAAAAATTCCTAAAAAGTTGGGACATGTAGAATCTAAAAAACATTGAATCCCCATATTTGAATGAAAATAGCACAAAGACAACGTAATTTGTTGAAACTGTGATATTTTATTGTTTTTGGAAAATGAAATGCCCAGTTTGAATTTGATGCCAACAACATGATTCAAAAAAGTTAGGATGGTGTCAAGGAAAATTATGGGGACACGTCGGACAAAAGCACCACATTTTTTCCACATAGTCTCCATCACAATAGCTTTCAATTTTCACTTTGCTCTTCATCAAGTTCGCGGTTCTAAGATGGCGGCCATCTTATAGGCCAAGTCTATAAGTGCCAATATGTCTTCCAAGCCACTTAGAAAGTCAATCTTGGTGTCAATATATACATTTTCTGGGTAGAGGAATGCATTAAAATATGTGGAAAAATGTGGTGCTCTTGTCCGATGTGTCTCCAGTCTTCCCAAATCTGGTTCTAAGCTGCCTGACTAAAAGGCTGAAAAATGGTAAAAAAAAACCCCAAAAAAGAACGAGGTTAACTGGCAACAAGTTTCCAGCTTGTCTCCTCCCGCCTCAACCAAAGCCAGCAAGAGTCACGGTCTCGCCATGCAAGAAGGCGTCAACCATCCATAACTCAAGTAGTGTAGTCAATCAATCAATTTTTATTTGTATAGCGTCAACAAGTGTAATCTCGAGACACTTTGCTAAAAGCAGGTAAAAGACCTTACTCATTGTTATGGTTGTTCTGGCAGCCCGTCAACCAACGATCTCGAGGAGCCTAACGCCCAATTCACACATACACGCCACGGTCTGTCAGTCAGTCAATACAATCTTGAGTCCATATATTGTGTTTTATTTTGAAATTGACTGGATGCTCTGTGCGTTTCCTTGTCTGACTTCCTGTCCATACTGATATTCATATTCTGTCCAACTTGATGCGTGCCTGCAGCGTACTCCAGCGAAAACAGACTCGCTGCGTATTTGAAAGGGAGCAGAGGGTAGTGCCGTTGGTGGCACGCGCTGGAGACGGACCGCAGCGCGCCCTGTGTGAACACAACGATAGACTAGTGTGGCAGCTAAGTAACGTAGTGCGCGGCGCTGACGGACCGCGGCGCACACGGAGTATGTGTGAATTGGGGGAAAGAGAGCTCAAGAGCTCCCAGGAAGGTAGGTGGTTAGTGACTGAGATTTACAGATAGATACATGCAGTAATATGATGAACTGTATATGCACAGTGAGAGAGAGAGGAGCTCAAGGCGCCAGTTCCCCCGGTAGTCTAAGCCTATAGAAGCATAACTAGGAGCTGGTCTACACCAGCCCTAACTATAAGATTTATCAAAAAAAGTTTTAAGTCTATTCTTAAAAATACAGACTGTGTCTGCCTCCCGGACTCCGGCTGGAAGATGATTCCAGAGGAGAGGAGCCTGATAACTGAAGGCTTTACCTCCCATAGTACATTTAGAGACTGTAGGTACCACTAGCAGGCCCGCATTCTGGGACCGTAGTGTTCTCGAGGGGCAGTACGGCACTAGTAGCTCCTTAAGATAAGATGGTGCCTGGTCATTTAGAGCTTTGTAAGTGAGAAGAAGGATCTTGAATTCTATTCTAGATTGTATAGGGAGCCAGTGCAGAGAAGCCAACACAGGAGTAATGTGGTCCCTTTTCCTAGTTCTAGTCAGTACACGAGCTGCAGCATTCTGGACTAGTTGAAGAGTCTTTAGAGACTTACCAGAGCACCCTGACAAAAGAGAATTACAATAATCCAACTTGGAGGTAACAAATGCATGAACTAGTTTTTCTGCATTATTTTGCGACAGGATCTGCCTGATCTTAGATAAGTCCAGGCCAGAGAACCTGAAAGGGTATGTTCTTTGGCTGCTAGGTCCATCCGAGCCGACTCTAGTTTTGCTAAGAGTCATCGAGCGAGGGAAGAGGGCCGTGGTAGGGTAGACCGAAAATATCAGAAAATAGTTTATTATTATTAAATAAATAATTACTATAAGTGTGATTGATCTAATTATAAACACACTAGTGTACAGATTGAACTACTGTTGATGTAGCACATAGCAGCCACGTTCAGTTTGTATGCTCCCTAAATCTGGAACAAACTCCCAGAAAACTGCAGGTCTGCTGAAACTCTCAGCTCTTTTAAATCGAGGTTGAAGACACACCTGTTTACAGCTGCCTTTCAATAAACAATTTGAATGAGATTTGAAATCTTAACTCTGCACTGTAACTTATAACTCTTTTTATATTTTTACTTTATTTATTTCAATTAATTTCATTTGAATTATTTTTATTTGAACATATTTTCAGATTTAATAATTTCAGTCATTTTTAAATTTCCTATTTTAATGTTTCTCTTCTTTCCTCTGTCATGATGCTTTTGATGTTTTGTGTGAAGCACTTTGAATTGTTGTTGAAATGTGCTCTATAAATAAACTTGCCTTGCCCTGTAAGAAAGAGTCTCAGTGCTAAACTGGCACTTCCTGCAGTCCTGACTTGTCACCCATTAAAAGTGTTTTTGAGCATTATGAAAGGTGTAAAAGGAGTCCTTGAACTGTTGAACATTTTAAATCCTACATTGATCAAGAATGGTAAAACATTACCCTCTTAAAGTTACAGAAATTGGTCTCCTGTGTTGTTTAAAGAAAAGTGTGATGCAACAGAGCGGTACACATGACCCTGTCCCAACTTTTGAAAAGTGTTGCTGGCATTAAATTCAAATTGGCGTATCATTTTCTGTAAACATTTTATGTTTTCTTGTGAATATTTTTAAATCAGTGTTTCAATATTTTCAAATTCATCACAATCAGTTTTGTTTACTTTTGACAACTTTTTGACCAAAAAAACAACATCTTGAGAAAGTCAATGTTCTTAATTAAGATTTTTTTAGTATTTAACTTTGCAGACAAGTTGAGTCTTTCTGAATGTATGTATATATGTGTGTGTGTGTGTGTGTGTGTGTGTGTGTGTGTGTGTGTGTGTGTGTGTGTGTGTGTTTCACACCTCTTCTTTTTTCTCCGATCTGTTTTCACTACTCAAATACCTCCTGATCGTCCATTTATTGAAGCTATATTAATTACATTTCAGTTAATAGTATTTCTGCCACTTGTCTTTCGAGTTAGTTGTAGTCATATTGGTCATTGATGATCTGGTGATCATCATCCTGTACAACACTTTCTTTGCAAATTAATCATTCATTTTACAAAAGTATGAATGTGTTGTCTGATGATCTTAGCGGATGATGTTTATGGTCTGACATCATTAATTCAGTGAATGATTTATTTGTAAGATTCAAATTATTGAATCCACTGAAATCACAGTCACACAAAGACAGAGCGTACTTACTGAATATGATTCTTGTTGTGATGTTGCTGTAGCTGTAGTAAATATATCTAGAAGTTATGTGTTCCTTATCCTCCAGTCTTGGTTCTTCAGTTCCACAGTAGTAAAGACCTTCATCTGACTCAGTGATGTTCAGGATCAGCAGGTCGTAGGAGTCAGAGGACTGGTTCTTCAATGAGTGGAAATTAGGAGGAAGATTTTGTTTCAGTCTATTGTTTACTTTCAGAACAAGTGAAGGCTGGTTCTCATGAGAACAGTTCCTGTACCACACGATGTAAACTCCAGCTGATGTTTTGCAGTCACAGTAGAGAATGATGTTGTCTCCTGGTCTGACCGTCACCTTCAACTCTGATCCACAAACACAGTCAGGACTCAAGGAAACCACTGCTGGAATTCAAACAAGATCATAACAGCAGTTTAAAATGTGCACAGCTATACAGGAAGACAAAATGACAAGGGCCCTAGAACGTTAGTATTCTTCTTTTAATGTAAAAACATCCTTGTATTAAATCATCCAAACTGTTAATCAAAAGAATTACCTGAGACCAGGAGCAGAACAACGTGACGGCCCTCCATGAGTGACGAGGTCTGAGATGTGAAGACAGAGACACAGGTCTCACTGACATCACACCCATGTAGATGTTTCCATTAAAGGAAGCAGACGCTGTGATTGGTCAGTGAGGTGGAACATTTTTTTGATTTTTTTTGCAGATGCCACCCAATGTGACATTTTAGACTTTGATGTTTTATTCTCTCATTGTGTCTTTCCCTAACAACGTGAATGTGTCTGAAGACATTGACAAATTGGATGATAATCGGCCAGCGAGCGTCGTAGTAGGATGATTAACGTCATTGTGATAGTAAACAAGGGTCTTCAAAAGCTGCTTCTGCTGAACATCTGATGGAGAACTAATTGTTAATTCATGAGCACAGTTGGCCTGGCGGTTGGGTTGCCCCGAATGTGAGAAAGCTCTGGTCCTCTGGGTGGACGGGTCTGGGTTCCATTACCACGTCATTCCCCCCCTCTCTCTTTCCTGTTTACTACTCTATACACCGTCTTATCAAGTGAAGGCAAGAAGCCAGAAAACAAACAAACAAACAGTTAATTCAAAACCACTAGCTGACTTTCTGACACCATTTTGACTCCGCCCACAAAACGCATCATCACTGTGTACAAATATAACAGGTCTTTAAACTCGGATGCTAAAGACTTTGTGAGAAGTTTGAAGTGGAGCTTGTGTGATGTCCGCTCATACAAAGCCAATCTATTTGTTCCGTCCATCTGCAACCAAGAACACAACTCTGGTGAAACATGTGTCTTCATCCTGAAAGGTAAACTCCTGGTGGAACATTTTTTTTTCTTTTTTTTTTCATGGGAGTAACCACGAGACATTTTGGTCTTTCAGGTCATCGTCAGGGCAACAATTCAATCAGAAGACGTGTTGCCTTTTTTTGTAATGTCGCTTTTGCATAAAAACACAATGTTAGTGACAAAGGGTATCAAAACCATAACACAGGACTGCACATGAAAACAAAAACCATAAAAAAAACCAAATTAAAATACATCATTAAAGCATAACATGATTACATGTTGGGATTTCAATAGCAAGTTCAATCAATCGCAGATTGCCAAATAAAGTGCAGAGTGCTATGATCAAACATGTTTATAAAGGATCAAGCAGCTTGTTTCTCTATAAGATAAATGTAAAGTTATACTGATTTAATGTGACTGTTAAGGACCAAGAAGCTAGGCAAGAGACAACAGGAGTTTTTATTTTACTCAAAGATGAATACAAAATGTACAAACCCCAAATTTCTTAGCTTTAAAAGTGAAACTATAACTGAACATAACTCTACTGAACATGAGAAAAGCTAAGGTGTGAACTCAGTGAACCGACCTAATGCAGCCCCCCCCCCTTCCCCCATGACATCAGAGCATTTGGTCTGGTCTAAAGAGGAGCCTTCAGGAAGCAGGAAGTCCTGCCCCCACCCACTAGTCATGTTACTGAAAGACAGAGAAATAATGATTAGCACAGTAACAGAAGTTATTGTTTAATTTTACACTAAAACAAACTGTTTTAACTGTCTGGTTGAATGACTCCAATTTTGTTGGGGAACTGAAAAGAGTAAGAGTGTGGGTGAAGGTGAAATCATGGTTGTGTGCAAGGTGTAAGTGTCCATCACATTCACCCTCAGTGCAGCTACTTCAAATTATGAAAGAAGAATAGATTTATGGGTCGCTGTTTGTGAGAAATCCCCCATCGTAAGATCATATCAGTACATAGTGGAGGCTAAAAGAAAGTTGAAAGAGTTCAAACAACACTTAAACTGTGACTGCAGTATATGTCGCTGTCCAAAAAATGACACACATGAGCTTCTTAAGTTGCCAACTCATCTTCAACAGATTTTCCGACCATAAAAAACAGCATTTTAGCCTTCTCAGACAATGCCTGAAAAACCACTTGTAGGATTTTTGTGTTCTTATACATTTAAAGCATGTTTGTTTCATGGCACATAAAACCTACGCGGCCTGAACTGAACATGTGTATCCTTATAAACAGCTCAGGCATATTTCCTCTCCTCTATATAAATGTTGGCATTTGATGGTGTGATTCAATATTTATGGCCGCCCCTACGGTGGGGAAAAAGAGTAAAGCTTGGGGCAACATGTCTGATATGTCCTTAAGCAAGACACTCAAGCCAAAGTTGCTCCAGCTACTTCGTCTGCCGTGTAAAAGTGCTTTGAGTAGACTGAAGAATAGAAAAGTGCTATGCAAGCTCAAGTCAATTTAAGATATTTCTGGGGAAAGATTGCATGGGAAGGACCCATGGAGGCTTGCACAAACAGGGTTCATCCTAACTTAAAGCAACAATGACCACCTTTTCTTGCGTTGTATTTCTACATTTGCAAATCTTTTGAACCTTCAGAAGATTTTACCATATTTTACCCAAACTGTGTAAAAAATTCATGTTTCCTCACTGAAAAACATCAGGCTGCCTTAGTCAGCCACACCTCGACTTAAGGTTCTCACTGAATAAATTGGAATTAATTTTTGTTGATTTTTTACATCAATCTTAGCCTATCACTTTTTTTCTGTGTGGGTCCCTTGGGGGTTCGGCCTTTCTTAGATCTGCTCGACCTTTCAACAGAAACAAACCAACAAAGTTCTTGGCTTAATGTGAATCTTTATTACAAATAGATGGTGAACATAAAGGAAGAATACATGTACATTAGAAATGGTTACAACATAGTTACACATGATGAATAAATTGGAAACAGTATGCAAACTAAAACGGGATTAATGTTAAAAAAATTAATTCATTGTGGTGAACTAGTTAAAATGAAATCTAAGTCTTCCTCCTGAAAGTGCAGCACTGTTGGTGCCCAGGAAGGCCATGTATTGGGTTGCACAGTTCTAAGCCTGGCAGCGGTCTATTGCTGTCACTTTTAGTCGTGTCAAAGTAATCTTTGCTATAACGATACTTGTTTACTTGTTTACTTGTTGAAAATATCTGTTTTGTTGATGTTTATGTCTCTGAAGACATTGACAAATTGGATCCTAATCGGCCATCGAGCGTCGTAGTAGGATGATTAACGTCATTGTGATAGTAAACAAGGGTCCTCAAAATCTGCTTCTGCTGAACATCTGCCGAAGACCCAATTGTTAATTCATGACCACAGCTGACCTGCTGGTTGGGTTGCCCGAATGTTTGGAAGCTCTGGTCCTCTGGGCGGGTGGTTCAGGTCCGGCCTGTGGTCCATTACCACATGTCATTCCCCCCTCTCTCTTTCCTGTTTACTACTCTATACACCGTCTTATCAAGTGAAGGCAAGAAGCCAGAAAACAAACAAACAAACAGTTAATTCAACACCACTAGCTGACTTTCTGCCACCATTTTGACTACGCATCCAAAAACGCATCATCACTGTGTACAAATATAACAGGTCTTTAAACTCGGACTCTAAAGACTTTGTGAGACGTTTGAAGTGGAGCTTGTGTGATGTCCGCTCAGACAAAGCCAATCTATTTGTTCCGTCCATCGACACACAAGAACACAACTCTGGTGAAACATGCGTCTTCATCCTGAAAGATAATCAGACACAGTAACATGAGTGTCATTAGTACAGAGTCTCTACTGCTGCAAAGATGTCTAATGGTTCTGAGACCATGAAAATACCAAAGAAAGTCCTTACCTGATTCACTGTACTTTCCTCTCCCATGTCAGGTCTTCTCTCAGTCATTTTCATCTGTAGAATCATAAATAAAAGGTTTCTTGTTAGACAACGACTTCATTCATTCAATGCTCCATCACAATAAATATGATTCATTTGTATTTAAGTCGATTCATAATGTCTATACTTAACAGGTAAAAAGTGATTGTAGTGTATTTACCTGCATTCTGACTGCAGAGATAAACAAAAGTCAGGCACAGGAAGGTGGAGAGGACCGTGATGGCTGGACTGAACACCATCATCCAAGATACACCAGGCTCAACATGGGGTGGACCGATGGAGTCACTGGAGGCTAGGTCAAATATAGAATGTGGATTAGATGTTTAAAATGTTGGTTTTCAATGTATCTAATTTTTCTCTGGTGTGCAACCACAGCCTGTAAGAATGAATGGACTAAGCCAGAGTGACATCACCCGTCTGTTACTGCAGGGGGCTTTGGAGTCCCATCAGTGGCATTATAACCACTGACAAAACATTGGAGCTTGTAATGATAGTCATACGAGTGATGAAGGAGAGAGCTACGAGTTTGATCAGATCTACTGCACGTTTTAATTAGCAGAAGAAAAATGAGCCACTGCATGGAAACCTTTGACTTAATTCGCAATGTGAAAAGTACTCAGATATTTAAACATATTTGTTCTTCTTATCTCAACATATCTGCATTAAATGACTTTTTAAACTAATTTCTCAGGTACCTCCTGTTGCCCACCCACTTATTTTGACTTTCCACATTTCCTGTCTTTGCTGTTGTTATAGTCACTTTGGTCATTGGTGATCATCTCTCTGCTTTGCTCTGTCACATTGTACTTCTATAGAAGCAGATAGAGTAATGAACACATACCACAGAATCTGTACATTTCTCCAACATTCACATTTCTCTACCAAAACTCCATTGAGCACCTTTAAAAAAACACAGTATAAGTGTGCTGATGATCTCAGCAGATGATGTTATGGTCTTACATGGGTGTTTCAGTACGCTGAGAGCCTCCCCTTGTGTTCTTTAGAGAGTGTTGCCTGTGGATAGACATTTTCTCTTATTTTAGAATCTTTTTTAATAAATATCTTTTTACTTGTAAATGATGTGCAGTTTAAGCTCATTATTGCAACTACTACTTTGTGCAATCTTTACAGTCTTTATCTTCATAAACTCACGACACACTAAAATACAATTGTTGGTTGTTGGTCTTTTGTATAAAATTAAACTTTATACAAAAGACCAACAACAAAAAACTGCCTTATTAAAAGTCAGAAATCTTCGGCCTGATCCCGGGCTCATCAGCCTTCACAGGCCTAGACTGCGCCAGGCTTGGAAAGGGATAGGGGGAGAGATGGGATAAAATTCAGGAAGAGGGATAGGGAGTAAGGGGGTGGGGGTTGGGGGTTGTTCTGGCAGGCCGTCAACCAACAATCTCAAGGAGCCTAACCCCC